ATTGAGATATGTTGATCAAATCAATATTACTAGCATATATATTGCTACCAATCATAATTATTCTTTAGGCCCCTTGTCCAATCTCACCCCATCCCCCTCTCCTGCCCCCTCCCCCCTCTAATTACCCTAGATTTCTTCTCTCCTTCTGAAAGAATAATGGTTACTCTGTTGATTTCTTGCCTAGATGATCTGTCCAATGCTGAGAGGTGTGATCAGGTCCCCCATATTACCATAGAGCAGATGCTTCTTCTGTCACTCTGAAATGGGCTTTGTAGAGAAAAGACATCCTCCTCTTTTCTTTATCTGTGCTGGTGACTCTCCTTGTGTTAATGCACTCCAGTGGCTGGCAAACCATCTGCATGGTGGTTGTGGCATCTAGCCACTATCGCGGCAGCCATGGTTATTGTGGTGGCTGTGGTGGGCCACCCACATGGAGATGATGTTTTTGGCATGCTCCTTGGTCCTGGTGGTGTGCCTGGTTGTGGGTGTGTCTGGACCCCAGATCCATGCATTGGGTCCCTGGGCAGGCCCTGAGGTGCTGGTGCAGTGTGCCTGGTTGTGGGAGGGGGGGGGTCTGGTCTCCACTCCATGCCCTGGGCCCCCAGGCAGGGCCATGAGGCACTGGTGGTGTGCCTGGTTGTGGTCAGAGGGGTCTGGTCCCTGGCTTCATGCCTTGGGTCACTGCGCAGGCCATGAAGTGCTGGAGTGGTGTGCCTGGTTGTGGGAGGGGGAACCGGTCCCCTTCTCTGTGCCTCTGATCCCTGGCTGGGCCCTGAGGCACTGGCATGGTGTGCCTGGTTGTGGGAGGGGGGTCCAGTCCCCTGCTCCAAGCCTCGGGTCCCCAGGTGGGCCCCAAGGCACTGGTGCAGTATGCCTGGTTGTGGGCAGGGTGTCCAGTCCCCGACTCCATGCCTCAGGTCACCAGGCACACCCCAAGGTGCTGGCACATTGTGCCTGGATGTGGGAGTGGGGTCCAGTCCTCAGCTCCAAGCCTCCGGTTCCCAGGCAGGCCCCAAGGCCCTGGTTGTGTGCCTGGGCCAGAACTAATTTTGTCCTTTGCTGACTTCTAAAATGGGGAAACAGCCTGTGGGAACCAGTACTTGAGCTGTGTGGTTGAGCTAAATTGCTGCTTTGCTTCTGTTTCCCTAGGGAAGGCTTTTTGTGCAGCTCAGGGTTTAATGGTTGACCTTATACGTACTTCCAACTCTCCAGAGACCCAGTGGACATGGGTTGTGTAGAAACTCTGATCTGGGCCTGTGTTTTCATCAAACTGCATCCCATGCAATTCTGCATTCCTGACCAGTCTCCTCTGAGTGGTCCTGCGCTGACTAGGGGGCAGATTGGCTGTCCTTGCTGTGTCCCTGTTTTCCTGGTGGGCCTTTCTCCCCCACTGCCTGTGCTCCAAACACTTCCCAGGGGACGGGCCCAGTGTTGGTCCCTTGCAATGACTCACTGGCCTCTGAATGGCTCCCTTTTTTCAGCTGTTCTGGCTCCTCACTCCTGTGTGGGTCCATGGGAACACTATTAGTGGTCTTGCCGTTTTGGGGGCTACCAAGGCCTTCTTCTCCCCTGCTGCCTCCAAGTAACTCCATCTGAAGGGCACAGCTGCGGCTTCTGCCAGCTCCTGCTCCATGCGCTCAGCAGTTCTAGTCTTAAAGTGGCCATGGCCCTAAATGCTCCAAGCAGTTTTTTCATTCTCTCATCATGGTTTCTCCTGCCCTCATGAACTCCATAGGAGCTCCAGAAGCCCCACCTTGGCTGATGTTACATTTTTACAGCTGTAAATTGGTTGATTTGTGGGATAGAGTGACACTGGGAACCGTCTATTCCACCATTTTGACCAGAACCTCCATCTTACCTTTTTATTTCCATGCCACACTCTTTTCCAACTTGATTTTTTTTTTATTCATTTTTTTTTTTTTTTTGTCTTTTGTCTTTTTCCGTGCCCGGCAACGGATCGCAACCCTCAGTGTTGCCCCCGTACCAGACCGGGGACCGGCAACGGGATCGCAACCCTCGGGGCTGCTCCCGCGCCTCGCTCAGCCAGTGAGCGGGAACCGGTCTGTATGTGGGATCTGAACCCTCGGGCGGGAGCGCCACCATGCTTCCCAAGCGGTGCACTTATCCAGTGCGCCACCGGGCCGGCCCCTTGATTCACTTTTAATTGATATCTCTATCTTCCCTTAACAAGACAAAGACTTTAATATATACTCATGCTTTCTCTTCTCCATCCACTCCCATTGTGTTGATATTATAAAGAATTTTAGTTCTGGATTATTATGTATATACTTTCTGTTATTTTCTTTAGTCTTTTTACTTATTCTTTTTAAGTCATCAACAAACTTTCCCTAAGTATCTGATCACCTTTCCAAATCTCTTATAGCATCTCCTGGATTTGTTTCTCTTTTTATTTAAGTAATTTCTCCAAAAATGTTTTTGGTGTCTTTGCATGGAAAGTCTTCTCAAGTCTTGAATGAGAATATTATTATGCCCTCATATTAAAATGACTATTTATCAGTGCATAAAATTCTAAGTTCAAAGTCCTTTTCATGTTCAACTTCAGATTCTTGATCTGGGCACGGTAATGATGATTTCTGCCACACCATAATCTACTCTCCTTCTGTCTGTGGACTCCCATCCAGCCTGGTGACTGAGTCTTCTACAGATAAGATTGACCAAACCTCTGAACAGAATTGAAAAAAGGTCATCTTCAGAAAAGTAGCTCTCTCATACACTGCTGCTGTAGTGCAACTTCTCCAAAGGGCAATGTGGCAATGCAGATCAAACCTTTAAAAATACATGTATACCTGGACCCAACAATTTTACTTCTAGGCACATACATGAAAGAAATACCCCAACAACATTCAAAGAGGTACACATAACACTCCTAACATTAAAAAAAGAAATTGAAAACAACCTAATCTCTATTACTTACATCTAATAAAATACATGTTTTTAAGCATAGAGCTTGATGAGATTTTTAAAATTTATGCATCTATGTAGCCATAACTCCAATCAAAATATAGAATATTTTTATCACCCCAGAAAATTCCATTTTTTCTTTCCCAATCTTTCCACCTCTCAGCAATGACTGCCTGAGAGAATCATATTAATGGAATCATATGGTATGTACCTTTATTTTCTTAATCTGGCTTTTTTCATACAATATAATCTTTCTGAAATTTACCCAACTTGTTTTGCATGGTTCATTCATTTTTATTGCTGAGCAATATTTCATTGCATAAATATACCATAACTTATCTTTTCTCTCACCAATGGGTATTTGTGTTACTTCTAACATTTGGCTATTACGAATAAAGTCATTATCAAGATTCTCATAAAAGCCTCTTACATGTATGTACAGTTACATTTTTCTTGGGTGGAACAGCTGAGTCATAGGTTCAATACATATTTACTTTTATATGAAATGGCCATTTTACAAATCTAATGGCACTGTATACAAACTTTAGTTGTTCCACATCCTTGTCAACTTTTGGTATTGTCAGGCTTTTTAGTTTTAACCATTCTAAAAAATGTGAAGTTGTACCTTGTTGGGATTATATTTTTGCCTTCCCTGAAGACTAATAATGTTGAACACATTTTAATGTTCATATTGGCCATATCTTATTTTGTAAAGTGGTGGTTCAAGAGTTTTGCCCATATTTGTCTGGTTGTGTGACTTTTGTTACTGAATCTTAAGAGTTGTATTCTAACTATATACAACTTTGTCATCAGATACCTATATTTAGAGTATATGTATTTCATACAGTAATGCTCTTTTGATGAACATATAGCTTAATTGTGATGCAGTTATCATTTTTTTATTTAGTGCTTTTTTAAAACTTATTTTTAAATGATTATAGGTTCACAGAAAGTTGAAGAATGAGTATAAGGAGCTCCCATGTACACCTTACCTAGTTTCTCTCAATGAAAAATATAATTATAGGACAATATCAAAACCAGAAAATTGACGTTGGTATAACCCATAGAGCTTGTTCAGATTTCACTGCTTTTTCATGCACTTGTGTGTCTGTGTGCATGTCTGTGTTTAGATCTATGCATTTTTATCATGTGTAGATTGATGTAACAACCACCACAACCAAGACATAGAGACTTCCTTATGCTATTGCTTTAGACAATACCCATCACCACCCATCCCTAAGCCCTGGGCCACTAATCATTCCTCTATCTCTATAAGTTTGTTATTTCAAGAACATTTTATAATTTGAACTATGCAGGAAGTGACTTTTTGTGATTGAATTTTTTTACTCTGCATAATTCCCTTGAGATCTACATTATGACATATATCAATACTATGTTCCTTTTCTATTGATGAATAATTTTCCAGTGTATGGGTGTATCACTGTTTGTTTAACCATTCGCTCATTTAAGGACAGTTTGTGTGTCTCCAGCAAGGGGCTGTTATCAATAAAGCTGCTATAAAAATTTCTGTAGAAGTTTTGATGGAAACCTATGTTTTTCTTTCTCTGGGATAAACGTCAAAGAATGCAGTTGTTGGCCTGTATGGGGATTACATGTTTCATTATGTGAGAGATTATCAAACTGTTTTCCAGAGTCATATTACTTATGTTCCCACCAGCAACGTATGAGTGCACTCAATGTTTTTTATGTCTTGTAAAACAAATCTTTCCTCACCACAGGTTTGCAAAGTTTTTGTTCTTCTTCTAGAAGCTTTAGAGTTTTAGCTTTTACACTTAGGTATATGATATATTTCAAATTAAAGTGTTGTGGTGTGAGATAGGATAGTGTTTTAAATTTTCTACTTAATTATCCAGTATCTCTGGTTGAAAGCCTTTTTCTTTCTCCACTGAACTGGCTTTGTATAGGGCAATCTACCTCTGGACTTTATTAGCTTCCACTGACACCTATATCTAATCTCATGGCAGTGCACTTTTCATTGATTACAATACCTGTATAATGCCTCGGGAAATCAAGTAGTATAAGTACTTCGCTTTGGATTTTTCTTTAAAGATTGCTTGTATTTGTCCAGTTTCTATTAATTTTTATATAAATTTTAAAAAGCATATGCCATTTTACAATATTTTGCACTTTAAAATTAGAGCTTGCACATTCTTAATTAATCTATTCACATGTAAAACAATCCCCCAACATCTAAACATAATTATGTTAAAAATTCCATAAGCAACATACAGTGATTAATATGTTTAGATTTAGAAACAGGGAAAAAATATTTAAGTTAAGAAAAAAAGCAAGAGAATCTACTTGTTGTTTCAGAAATATGTATATATAGGTAGAAAATATCTGAAAGCTGAAAGAAATATTAATGATAGCTTTCTCTAGATGAGAGATTAAAGTGGCTTTTCACTTCTTTTTGCTTTTCTTTACTTAATATATTTCTACCACGAACCTCTTTTATAAATAACTTTAATAAATAGTTTCTCCATGAGTCAGTTTTACAATTTGCAACTTACAGATCAATTGGTTCTATGATCAGTATATACTTTCCATGTACCACTGTTTCAACTCATACCACCTCAAACCTCCTTGGGCACACATTAAACTCCTTATTTATCTTTATATCCCTCCAGTGCCAATACAGGGCTCAAAATATATAAAAATATGAACACATTACATTAAGATGCTCAAGAATGCATCTCTGGGATAAACTATGACTGCTCTTTATCTATTAAATTTAACAAATCACCATAATAAAGGAATTCTTTAAATTACAGAGAGAATGATTAAAACAGTAACTTTCAAACTTTTCAGCAGTAGAATTCCTTCTTGAAATAAAATCTTTTTGCGATGTTCAACACATAAAACAGATAAAAATAGAGCATTTCTAGTGGGAGTGGGGGCCATGCAGAGGTGAGTCCTGTCTACTTAGACTTCTTCCTTGCCTCTCACAGGCTGCTGTGCAGTTTGAAAATTACTATTTAATACATTTTGTTGACCCTAAATGTCATGTCAAAGCTGGAAGAGAAAAAAAAAACACATTTTCAATCTAACATTTATTTAGTTGTGGGGTGGGGTGTTTTTTTTGCAATTATAAATTACAATCACTAGTACGCCTGTAATTTTTTATAGTGCGTTCAACTAAAGAATAAGCAAACACAGCATAGGTCAGTTTTAAAAGAAATCATGGTACTACTTAGCGTAATTTGCAAAAGGGGGAAAAAGTCTTGGGCCCACTCCTTGGAAATAAATATCAAGTAACCATAAAAATATTCAGCCATTTTTCAGTTTTTCAGGGAGGTTCATGCACGGTACCACGCAGAGCATCAGAGTTCCTCTTTGAAATATCCCAGCTTTGCCAATGACATCTCTTTTCTCAACTGCATAACTTCCCAAAACATCTGATCGACTATACAAACAGAAGAGAGAGACATGTAAATCATAAAATATCATCTTAATTATTTTTAATGCTTCGCTCAAAATTTAAGATTAGCTGAAATGCCACTTGGGCATTTCCTAATGATGTACCTAATGCCTAGGCATTCTTTTGATTTTTCAGACTTTTAAACATACTTGTAAGCATCCCAGTTTTATCAATAAATAAGCAATATTCACCAGTTTTGTTTCAACTATTTGTTAGATACATGAGACTATCACTTTAGCCCAAGAAAAAGAGTAAATAGTAATGCTGCTGCCTTCATAAGTATACTCAATGTTTAATTATTCAAGAGTTATTATCTAACTTTAGGATCTTCTTGCTCTAGTTTGCTATATCTTGGCCATTTCACTCTTCATTAACACTATGAGGGAGCACAGAAAAAAGGAAAAGGAGAGTTAATCCAGAAAACTCAGTAACATTCTTTGTAATAACAGGGAAAGGTTTTGTATATGGCTCAAATTAGAAATAAAAATAAATGTAAAGGATGATCTGTAAATTTTAATTATCTTTATAGTCATCCTTTGGTATCCACAGGGGATTGGTTCCAGGACATCCCATGGATACCAGAATCCACAAATGCACAAGCCCCCATTATAAAATGGCACAGTATTCACATAAAGCCTACAGTACTTATGTAAGTCTACAGTATAAATGGCATAGTATTTGCATAAAGTATATACTCCCATATACTTTAAATCATCTTTAGATTACTTTTAATTCCTAATACAATGTAAATATTACTTAAATTGTTCCTAAACTATATTGTTTAGAGAATAATGAAAAGAAAAAAGTCTGCATATGTTCAGTAGACGCAATTTTTTTCCAAATATTTGCTTTCTTTTTATTTGTGTGTGTGTGTGGCTGGCCAGTATGGGGATCTGAACCCTTGACCTTGTTGTTATAACACCACACTCTAACCAACTGAGCTAACCAGCCAGTCCTTTTTTCCAAATATCTTCGATCTATGGTTGACTGAATGTAGGGATGCTGAACCTACAACTACGGAGGGCCAAATGTACTTCTGTAAGTTCCCACTGTAAGCAGAAAAAAGTTGGCTAGATATTTCAGACAATAAAATGTCTTCATTTGATATATGATCAGATTAGACTGATTTAGATCAGGCATCTTCAACCAGGGGAGTTTTGTAGCCCAGGGTACATAAAGCAATGTCTGAATACGTTTTTCATTGTCACATGAGGGTTGCACTACTGGCACCTAGTGAGTAATTGCAGGGATGCTGTTAAATATCCTATAATACACAAGACAGCCCTCCAAAACAAAGAATTATCCTGCTCAAAATGTCGATAATACCAACGTCGAGAAACTCTGCTTTAGATTCAGCTCTCCTAACTCCTTTTTTGGCACAAGAACAGATAATAGATTTTTAAATTTATAATACTTGTCTACTACAAATCCACACCATATATGATGTGTATCTAATACTGTGAAGTTGAAAAGTGACAGAAACCAGAGAACATGACAACTTTTATCACCATCAACCCCACCATCATTTATGACACTTTCTTCCTATTTTCGTAAAGTAAATCAACTTTCAGTCTTCCCTACAAACACTTTATTTTAACAAGGAGAAAAATATGACTAACAATTTAACTTAACATAAATCATCTGTTCTCCAGTTTAAATCATATCCACCAACAGGTATTCAAAAAGATTTCAACTTTATTAAAGTCATTAAATATTATATAGTTTAAAGACTTCTTCTGTGCTATGTAGCTTTTTGAAATTCAACATTAATTAGAGACAGGTTTCGTCCCTGTTCTTTTAGGCATTAAAATCCATTTATATGGTATTCTAAGTAAATATGACTTTTTTCAATACACCAGAGTTTGAGAAAAGCTACACCATGTTTTTATTAGCATGACTAATTTTTCCACAGAATTAAGATTAAGATGTTTGGGACACCTAAAAAAATATATACAGGAAAATTTCCAACAAATACAAATACAAAACTGGCATAAATTTGTCCCTAACCCAGTATCTGCTATTTCTATTTTAAAACAATCACATGTACTCAAGAAATATTCCTTTGGAGCTGTCAAGCCATATCAGTTTTTGCCTGATATATAAGACATTCATCTATAAAACCAGCAGTAATCATGTAAGACTGTATTAAAAATATTAACACACGTGCATTAGCTTGGCTCTGCTGGATATATCATCTGCTTGCTTCTACTAACTTAGAATACAGTAATCTTTATTCCATTCAGAATTTTCTTTGTAACTACTTTATTAATTCACACATCACAGTAGGAAATACAAGAAAAACATCGTTAGCTCTTTCATGGTTTCCATCAATTAAATTAAATCTGACCACTTCTAGAGCTGGCTTATTTCCATTTCTTAAGGAATAAATTCAGTGAGCTTTGTACTCTCCTCACATCTACCATCTGGTTTATCATGTACCCCTTAAGAGTTATGGCTCAAAATTCGAAATTAAGAGTAAAATGAGGCAAGCAAAAGAATATATTTTTGAAAAGGGATATTTGTTCTCAAATTCTCCACACATTTTATTAGAACTATAAAAGGGATTCAGTACAAATATACCAAAAATACCCACAAAATTTTTGACATAACAAGTGAGTGAAGGTTATCTTTTGGGAAGCTGAACACACATTCTGGTAAGGAGCCATTGCTCAAAATATTTTGCATTTTCTATTTTGGAATTGTTTTCAAAGATTGGAAAACTAAAATAAATCTTTTTGATCATTAACAAAGATAAAAAGAAATACACCAACATTAATTTATTTGAACATGACTACTTGTCCTTTTTTGGCTGAACTTTTTAATGTAAATATTTATAATGAATTAAGAGCACTCACCATCCTGCTGTTTCACAAGTCCCTGCTGAATATATCGTATGTATGTAAAAAAGTTACATACAGAAGTGATCTAGGCCAAAAGGAAAAAATGTCATGAATAGTCAAATATTTCATATCAAAGTGAGCTTTATTGAAATTCATGATTAAATTTTTAAATCATATTAAATTCATGATTAAGTCACTTACCCTGTACCTACAAAAAGGAGAAATATAATAATAGTTGCTTGAGTCCCCTAATTTAATTCTGTGTTTACAGGACTTACTCTGGCCAGTAAGAGCACATTTTCTGTAAAATAATGATAAATTTTAGTTTTTTAAAATTAAAAGCAGTTTGCCCCTACCTTCTGTACTAGCTGTTCATTCACTCAGTATGACAACAAATATTTGAGAGTCTCCTATGTAAGGCTCTACTCTAGAAGCTGGGTTGCAGTGGTGAAAAGGACAAAGTCCCTGCCCTTGTGGGACTTAATTTTAGTATATGCTTAATACCATAATATTAACTAGGGTTCTAGAAAGAGAAACTAGATATTTTAAATATATGCCCTATCTTGGAGAATTTACAAATGAGTAATCAGCTGTAGGACAGCTCTCAGCTTTCTATCAACACTTCAACTTCTCAGTTGGAAAAAAACCTAGAGATGATTGTTCACGTCTCAAAACATGTTACTGATAGCTGGCAAGACTCCAGATGAGACACTTTTTGTTTGGTTAGTTAATTGGATTATATTCATTTAATATAGGACCTAGGGAGAAGTACAAAGGATAGCCACCTTATAAAAATACTGAATCTTAATAATTATATAAAGAATACAACACATTTCATACTCTCCTTTCTATTTGCATACTATAAAATCTAAACTTTTGCATAAGGCTTTCTGGCTGGGATTAGGCTGTAAGCCTCTTGAGGGCAGGGACTGTGTTTTATTTATTTTTAAATGCCTGACACCAAGCATGTGCCTGGCACACAGCAGACATTCAATGACTACTGAATAAGTGATGGGCCACCTGTCACTCTACTGCTCCACGAGATGAAGCTGGCTTACATATCAGGCTGGACTTGCTCAGCTGTCACCCTCCTAAGGTAGGAGCTTGGCTAAATACAATTATAACTCCAATGCAAAATTGGCGTAGCTCTAAGTAAAATAAAGTGGCCAACAGTATTTTATATGACATTATAAATTATGTAATAAAGAAAAATATATTAAATTAACAACATTAAATTTCAGTTATACTTATAAAAAGTATGACATATGTGTCTCCATATTAAGAAAACACATGGAGACTGTACATTTGAAACAGGATAATTTTGAGGTACCCATTCAAATCACAAACCAATTTTATCTCTTCAAAGAGATTTTGCACCATTGTTCCTTTTTTAGTAAATTCATTTAATAATCTGAAACAATATTTAAAAGCACTAATTAGTAACTTGGGGAAGAAAGAAGAAAAAGAAATTCAAGGCACAAGTGTTGGAAGTCCATGAAACTTCCAAAAGTATAATTTATACAAGAGGGAAAAGTACCACCAAACTGATAAAAATTAATTTACACACAATCTTCTGGAAACAGACATATACCTGTTCAACATATATCTACTCTTTTGTCTAATTTTGAAAGGGTTCTGCTAGAGGTTTTAAGTATCAACTTTTAAAACAATAAAAAAGCGTTTCTTCAATGATCTCATTTCTAAAGTCATTTGTAAACTGTTCACATCCAATATATTTTTATTAGAGCCAGTATTCAATGCTGTCTTCTGACCTCCACCTCTCAAGATGTTTTTTTTAACAAGCTACACTACTTTAATATCTCTTTACAGACTTATTCCCAAGATTTCAAACCCTTGCTTGTCATTTTCACTTGGGGGTGTCTACACATCTAAATTTAGATTCATAATCTTCTTCCCCAAACCAGAGTCTTTACTATATATTTCCAAAATTATTTCAAATCATTATTTCAGTCAGTCATCTCTAACTCCTTTCTCTTTTACCTATCCCCCCACCGCTATCTAATTTTTCTTTCTTAATATTTGTCACATCTCTCCTTTCCTCTACATACACTCACCATCCTGTGAACACACTTTGTTTTCTTGTTTCTAGGCCTTCGGTCATTTATAGTGTTCTTTATCTGAAGTCCAGCTATGCTTCAAAACTTCAGATCAAATCTCCCTCCCTCCAAAGAGAGTCTCTGGTCACACCTGGAATGATCTTGTCTTCTTCACAATTCCTATAGCACTGTCTCATTTAGTTATTACCTTCATAACCTAGTCCACAAGAGTCTTGCCCAGAACCATATTCCACATTTCATAAAAGAAGACAGTTTTTTTCCACACAATATGCTCTACAAACATCCTGGCTTGTGGCCCATTCCCACAAGCACGATATACTTAAACTATGTAAACCATTCTCTAAACCTATGTAATTATTTTACTAAAATGCTATAAATCCACTTTAACTGACATCCCTATTTGTCATCATTTGATAATATCTGCACATACATGTGATATTATGCAAGCACAAATTTTGAATTCTACAATAAAAATTGTTATATGCTATATTTAAAACAAAGTATATATGAATATTGCCATCATTAAATTTAATTCTCCATTTTTGGGGTTGAAGGATCAGGATAAAAACACTTGAGTGTCTGCAGAATTTAAGAATATAAATCCAGCCGGTCAAGATGGCAGAAAAGACAGTCCCCAGCATCACTGTCTCCCACAAATCAACCAATTAACAACTATAAAAAAGCAACAACAGCCAAGCTGGGGTCACTAGAGCTCAGGGGAAAAGGAGGAGAGACCTACAGAGTGCATGTAGGTGGGAGAAGCCATGATGAGAGAAAAAAAAACTGCCCCGACCATTTCATGCCTTGGCTGCTTTAAGGCTGGAGCTGCTGAGCGCAGAGCAGGAACTGGCAAAAACTGCTGCTGTGCCCTTCAGATGAAGTTGCTTGGAGGCAGCAGGGGAGAAGAGCACCTTGGTGGGCCCCAGGCCAGCCAGACCACTAATAGAGTTCCTGTGGACCCACACAGGAGCAAGGAGACACAACAACTGAAAAAAAGGAGCTACTCAGAGGCCAGTGAGTCATCACAAGGGACCAGCCTATGGCCCATCCCATGGGAAGTGTTTGCAGCCTGGGTGGTGAGGGAGACAGGCCCACTGGGGAAACACTGGGGCACAGCAAGGACAGCTGACCAGCACCCCAATCAGTGAAGGACTGCTCAGAGGAGACTGAGGAATATAGAATTGCATGGGATACAGTTTGATGAAAAGACTCTGGCCCAGATCAGAGTTTCTACACAAACCCAGGTCCACCAGCTCTCTGGAGAACCTGAAGTACCTATAAAGTCAACCATTAAAACCTGAGCTGCACAAAAAGCCTTCCCTAGGGAATCAACAGCAAAGCAACAATTTAGCTAAAACACATAGCACAAGTACTGGTCCCCACAGGAAGTTCCCCCATTTTGGAAGTAAGCAAAAGAAAAAAAAAATTAGTTCTGGCCCAGGCACACTGCCAGCAAGCCCCAAGGCACAGAGCCAAGCACCAGACCCACCTCCCACAACTAGGCACACCACCTATGCCTCGGGGCCCACCCAGGGTCCTGAGGCATGGATCTAGGGACCAAACCCTCACCCCACAACCAGGCACAAACTGCCAGTCCCAAGGAGCATGCCCAAAACATCACCTCCATGTGGGCAGCCCACCACAGCTACCACAATAACCATGGTGGCTGCAAAAGTGGCTAGACACCACACCTTGCAGATGGTCCACCAGCCAATGGAGTACACTGACACAAGGAGAGTCACCAGCAGAGATAAAGAAAAGAGGAGGATGTCTCTCTCCACAAATGAAAGTGGTAGACACCACAAACACCATGGAGATGGTCCGCCAGCCACTGGAGTGCATTGACACAAGGAGAGTCACCAGCAGAGATAAAGAAAAGAGGAGGATGTCTCTCTCCACAAAGCCCATTCCAGAGTGACAGTAGAAGCATCTGCTCTACAATAATATTGGGGGACCTGAACACACCTCTCTGCATTGGACAGATCATCTAGGCAACAAATCAACAGAGTAACAATCATCTAGGCAACAAATCGACAGAATAACTATTATTCTATCAGAAGGAAAGAAGAAATGTAGGGTAATTAAGGGCGGGGGGGAAGGAGAGGGAGAGAGGGAGAAACTGGACAAGGGGCATAAAGAATAAGTATGATTTGTAACAATATATATGCAAGTAATATTGATTAATTAGAAGAGGAGGGGGAAGGAGGAGGGGGATGGGGAGAGATTGGACAAGGGGCATAAAGAATAAGTATGATTTGTAACAATATATATGCAAGTAATATTGATTTGACCAACATATGTCAACTTTGAATACCAAAAATAAGTATAAGCAATTACGATTCAATAAAAAAATTTTTTTAAAAAAAAGAATATAAATCCATTCTCCAAAATTCAAAGGCCACTGTGCTACAGATGTGGCACAGTGAGAGTGTAAAACTGGACACAACTCTAGGTGGATGTGTGGCTCACAGAGCAAATGCATGACTATGTACACTCCACAAACGGTCACCCAAATACCAACATTGTGCAATCTTGCTGAGAATGTAACATGCATAACAAGAAACAGGAAGAGCCATACAGTTCTTATAACAGGCTTTAACACAGACCTACTAGTTAATCTCAACCAGTCTTTTCCTCTTCTGGCTTCAAAATAACACTGACAGCAGTCAATTATTGCTTTCTATCAGCTCTCTTGTGCCTTCCAGATCCTATATTGATCTAGTTCTTAACTACTAACTCAGAAGGTTCCTCAAAAGCTTCCCATGGCATTTTTTAAACAGAAACCAAGGCACAATTGTACCTTTGTTTTAGACAAAACCTTTACCTTTGCCAAAGGTTTTAGGTACTGGTTTCAGTCTATCCACCTCAGATGACTGGATGAAAAAAAGCCTGCCTTTCTATGAAATGTGGAAGTCTTACTTCTGAAGATTTATAATTTCCAAATCTCTCTCTCCTATGAAAGACAGAGCTGATTATTTACCAAAGTGAGAATCTTCTATAACAATACAAAAGGAGAGGACTAATCTAGTCTTTTTGGTACTCTGACTCTGTTTTCATGCTTGATAAGACTTGTTCTAACTCAGTATTTTCCCAAACTGTGTTTGTCTGTTTGGCGGCTGGCGTGTACGAGGATCCAAACTATGACCTTGGTGTTACAAGGCTGCATTCTTACCAACTGAGCTAATGGCTAGACCCCCAACTGTTTTTAATGGTGAATCTCAGAAAGAAATATTTCATACAGAAACCCAGTACACACAGCTACACATATACATATAAAAAACCAAAATTCTGTTTATGACCCACCAACCTGATTTCCTGATCCACTAATGGGTAACAACATGGGGTTAAAAAACCAAAAAAAAACCCCACCATGTTTTTAATCTCTAGTTTACCTGGATCCCTATATTTTTATAATTAAAAGGGTTCTCCTTTGATGCTAAATTTGAAATGCTATATTCCACAATGTCTAGGAATTTGTCTTTAGGCTGCAAAGAGTTAACCACATTTAAAACTAGGAAAATTAAATAAATGCAACACATAAAATTTCAAAAATTCAGTATCTTCCACAAGTTCTGGATGTGAAAACCTACTTTGGTCCTCCACATTCGACTGCAGAAGCTTTCACAAATCGAACAGGTTGCAATCCCACAGGTTCAATGCTTAGAGTATTATTTTCCACAGCCTCCAGAACAGCTGAAGCCAACTTTAATGAAATAAAAACTATTAGATGCTATGATGGCAGGAAAATATCAAATTGTATTCTATAATAAAATGATTTCATAAATTATTTTTCCCCTGAGTCCTACCAGCTTAGCCTTAGCGAATAACAAAGAAAGAAACCATGTAATCTTGTTTATTTTTTTTCTTTTATAATTCAAACTCTGTTATGAAAGGTAATTTCATTATAGTGAAATAACTTATCTCATTATCTGGAAGAGAATTAAAGATATTAATTTAAGTTCTGTCTGCTATTTATCCGCCGTAACCACCGACTGTTAATGCCACTTCAAAATGAATATCCTCATGCTTTATTTTGCTAAATTATGCAATATTCTTAATACTGGTCACTTATAAAACAGCAATATATATTAGTTATAGCTACATATTTTCTGAATTTGTATTTATTTGCACAAGAGTGAGTCTACAAAAGAATTAACTGAATAATCAAATATTAAATGCCCAGATGGAAATGGTAGCAACTGATAAACAGCAGATGAAACAGGCAATTTTCTTCAGTCCAGCAAGATTACTGATACCGAACAGGCTACCTGAAACCAGGTACAGAGGCACAATGAACAACACATATTCACATCAAAAGTGTTACACTGTTCATCTTAACTTTTCTTTAAAAGTAATGTTATCATTAAATTCTCAAAAGACTTAACATAAGACTCTTAAGATTAAATTTCTTAAACATTCGTTGAAAGGATATTTGTAGACAAATCTTTCACGTTTTAACAAATTAAAATTATTACGTTACATTTATATATATTTTTTAAAGTTTCTGTATCTACTTAATGCACTTCATTTTATCCTCTTAACAACTCTGTGACATAGGCAAAGGTGGTACTGTTTTTCCTGTTTCAAAGATAAATAAACTAAATATGATTTTTTATCATGTACAAATAAACCCAGCAAATTCCTTTAATGGAATGTATGTAGAGAACTTTCCTTACACTGAACCTTGGACTGAAAAATCAAGAAATAAGCCCTACTCCCACATACATATTTAATACTTCACTCGAACACAATACACATTTCACTGTGAATGATCCTCTGATTAAATAAGGAAAGATGTTCAGCAACTGAATGCCAAGAAATTATTATAATCCTAATATGGAATAGAGAAAATGGTAAAATATGACATTTTATAATAATTTATGTAAGAGATATTAAAATATGTAACATGATTAGAAACAACTCTAATGCATTCCCATTAAAATGAAAAAAAAATTTACCTCACTTTTTGAGAATGTTAAACATGGAAATATATCTTCCTGATAGATTTTGTCTAAGAAAGGACATGTTCTGTCCATGGTGGGCTCATCCTTCCAAGATCTGAATTCATTATACAAAGATAAATCAGCCTAACAAACAAACCAAAAGAAAACACAAAAAAAACTTTTTAAAAAGTACAGACATACAACCACTGTATAAAATTAAACATTATTGAAAGAAATGCTCTTCATTTAAAGTAATAAATTAAACCATTTTTGATTAGTTATAACACATGATAGCAATTTTTCTTTTTAAAAAATGACTCCCAAATGACTAACTGGCACTTTTCAACATATCTACTATGGTGTCCAATGATGCTACCATTATCTTCATCCCCATGTTCCCCAAAACTAATGTTGGAGTACCTCGGAACACACAAGTACACACTGTTTTGAATATAAAAAATGATGAAAAGTCTTTTCTGAAAATAATCAAAAAGTAATTTGGAGCCAAGTTAAGTAAAGCATTTGAGTTAACTGAGACTAATTAAATTTGAAATCTAGTTTGGGTCAAAAATGACACTAAATATTCTGTTACATGAAGAAATTCTCAAAAAAACTGCCAAAATGTTTACTGTAAAAGCAACAAGACTAAAAGATGCATAAATAGAGCCTCCTAAATTGACTATTTTCAAATACAAACATTTATTTAGATACTTTTGGTATAACATCCAGTAAGGACCACCTAAAGTATCAATAATAATGCCCTCTGGCAACTTCCTTCCTATTCAATCCTTCAGCTGTCCCTCTCCTTCCCTCTTCCCTATAACAAATTATCCCCAAGTATTCTTCCCTACAAATCCTCAGATTCTCTCAGCCCAACTCAATACCATCTGCTGGAGTACAAAGCTGCACCTAAACCAGCCACCCAGACACAGATCAGTCTCCCTCGTCCTCCTACAGCTCTAAGCCACTCTTGTCCAGAAGCACTGGATAAACTATAAAAGATGCACTGACTATAACTATGGCCCGCCTCTAGGATAGCTTAATCAAATGTGCAGGTGGGCTAAATGAAAGTAACAAAAGGCTAAGTGTACCCAAGCTTTCCTACAGACTTTCTTTTAAGGTGTATAATGGCAATATCAATGTGAATTTTTTTATCCCAATTCATAAATTCCTTGAATCAAAGCTAAAGGCAAACGGACAAAGAATATCAGCAGATAAGCAATACTTACATTTTCAAACTCATTTTCTTTGTAAAGTTTACTGAGAAAATGGACATAAACTCAAAAGCAAGTGAGTGGTAATTTAAGGAAAAATTCTAGTTTAAAGGAAGTACTTTAAACCATTTATTAAAAGTTGACTCTGTGCCAGGAACTATGGTAAGCACTTTTTAAACATTTAATCCTCACAGCTGTGCAAGACAGATATTATGATCCCCATTTGTAACCTGCCCAAGTTTACACAGCAAGAAAGCAGTAAAGTCGAACCTCAAATCTAAGTGACTTGATATTGCACATGTGTGTCTGCATGCATATGTGTGTTTTAAATACTTACAGAAGACATCTGCTAAACATGACTGAGTTCCCCATCGTGTTTTCTACAGAAACATGAACATGTTTCATTTTCTTTCTGACTGCTATATCTTTTTTTAAGACTTACACAGGTCAAATTTATGTTTTTCATTTGTCTAATAAGACTTTTTGACAAGTTTTCCACAAAACATCAGAATATCAGGAAAAAGTTATTATTTTGAAGTTATATGTTGCCTATTCATATTTTAAGGGATTTCAAAACCTAAAAATGAACCTTTAAAACGTTCCATGAGAACACATTTAAATTTTGTTATAACCAATAGGGGAAAAAAAGTAAATAATTACACATAATTAATGAGAAACCATAGCAAAAACACAAGTTGTACCAAGCAATTAAAAATGCTACTTAAATTCAAAGAAATTAGAAATAAAGATATGACTTAAAATGTTTCTTAAATATTTAACAGAAATCAACGTGAATTTTAGATTTTGTTGCATTCAGATTTGACCAACTATTCAACTTCTATCTCATTAACACCTTTTTATTAACATATAAACAAAATGCAATTCAATTAAAATAGGTAACAACCTTGGTTACTCAATTTAATAATCTCCTGGCTTCCATGTAACAACTTTGTTGTTGTTGAAACATAAGTGACTGTACATGTCTGTAGGGTACAGAGTTGCATATCAATACCCATGTGTGATATGTGATGCTCAAATCAGGATAATTAGTACATTCAATATTATACAGTATTAATCATTTTTTGTGGTGCTTTACCGATTCCTCCCTTACCCTCCTCCACCTCTCCCATACAACAACTTAACTGAACAAGCACACACATCTTCTTTCAAGATTAATGATGGACTTTAACAATGTAAAATATAGTTTTTAAGAAAAAAAAATGAGAATGATGCTTCATGGATTACTGATCAATCTTCTTGGAAATGCTTTCTCATAATGTGCAACAACTAAATTTAAAAACATATAATTATACAATTTTTATTCTAAACAGTTCAAAATATTTACACATTATTTCAGTTATCTTTATAACACATCTTTTAAAACGATAAGGCTACCATTATTTCTATATGTTCTTGCTTAATTATCTGAATTAACTCTAGGATTCCCTTACCAATATAAAAATCTGCATCTCCTAGAATTTTAATAAAGCAATGCACTGATCTTCAAGAAAATCACCATATTTTCATACATTTCTTATATTCATATTTTGTTAGAGCACCTTAGCAATAAATTTTGACTAGCCAGATCATTAAAGCCTCTCTCCTTTATGCAACACATGACAGTTTGCTCCCTAAATGAAATATTAAGATTAAGAAACTTACCAAGTTTCCAGCAGATACTCCAAGGTCAGCCAGGTAGACAATGGAAGTGAAGAATCCCTGAAAGCAGCCAACTCTAGATAAAGCCTCCCCCATTTTAATATTGCATATTTTGTACTAAAAATTTTGCTGGCAAAAATCATAACTGACACCTCAGTGATGAGAATTTAACAAGTATCAATAGAGTCAGAGGGTACAGTCCTTGACGAGTTACCTCTTTGCAGTCTTTTACAATTGGCTGTATCACACTGAGGTCCTGATGACTGACACCCATAGCACTGCTTGTGCTTTTATTTCTTGTATGCCCTTTTTTAAAAGGTGTCTTTCCACCTGGCAGGGGCTCTTGCGTAGGTGATGTTGGAGAACTGGACAATACAAGTGTCTTCAGTGCAGCTACTTCAGCTTGAAGTACGTCAATCTTGAAAAGAAATAACATTGTTGTTCACACTAAATATGTTTTATGACAGATGCACCTAAATGTTAGAAGTTTGGTCGAAACATTTTCAAAGATGGAAAAGAAGTTTAATTTGTATTTCCCGCAGATATATGGTTTGGATTCACAATTTTTTAAATTATCAAGCTATCTAACATTCTATGTGAATTTTCAAAATCTTCAAAACATAATAGCTTATGATAAGTTGTGGTTCACTCCTAAAATAGTTAAATTTAACATCATTTAGGTTGCTTTTCTCAGTGAATAAAGAAAATATTAACTTTAAAATTTGATTATATAATCATTTTGATAACACATTATTCACATAGCTTAAAATCATTTGGTTCTATTAGAAATGAACACCAAATATCCACTATAATTCTGTAGTAGCTATTTTCTTCTTTATATTTTTCTGTAATTTCCAAATCTAAAATAAGCACTTCTTTTACAACCAGAACATAATCCAACAGATGTTAAGGTATCTTTAAAATAGTAATCACTAATTTCTTTTAAGTTTTATACTATTGAAAGCAGCGAAAACCTACTTTTCCTTGTGCTTCTTTTAGCTGTTTTTCTGCTGTTGCCTGCTTGACATTTGCTTCTCTCACCATCTTATGGGCTTCCTGAAAAAGTTAACATATCAAATTTTGGAAACAAAGTATTTGGCATTTGTTTTAAAAAATCTTTCTCCAAGTGTCCATGACTGAAGCAAAGATATACAGATGCTCCTCCACTTACGATGTGGTTACATCTTGGTAAACACATCATTAAGTTGAAAATATTATAAATTGAAAGTGCATTTAATACACGTAAACTACACAAGCATCACAGCTTAGCCTACATTAAATATGCTCAGAATGCTTACATTAGCCTACAATTGGGCAAAATCATCCACCACAAAGCCTATTTTATAATAAAGTGTTGAATATCTCGTGTAACTTATTGAATACTGTACAAGTGAAAAATGGAATGGCTGTATGAGTACTCAAAGTATGGTTTTTACTGAATGTGTATTGCTTTTACACCATCATAAAGGTGAAAAATCTTAAGTTGAACCATCATAAATCAGAGACCGTCTGTACTATAAAGATATAACCTGAAAATAAGTATCCAATGTCAACTAGTGAAACAGCAGTTGATTATCAGGTAGACAAACTATTAGAAATTAATAACAGGTACCTTCTTTTAGTACCTATTACACCACTGAGACAGCCAAGTTGAGTTCAATCATTCTCAACAACACTTGTGTAAGGACTGTGAATGTGATGACGGAAAACAGACAATAACCCACATGTCAAAGCCAATTCCTTTGCAGTTAGGTTTTTGTGATTTTGTCACTATATATATATATTCATATTATTAGCCATAGCATAAACATATACGAGGAACAAGTAAAAACATTAACACATCACTAATGTTGCAGTTTACAGGAATAACAGAGAAGCCTTAGAACTTCCAATAAGAACATTCACAAGATATTAAGTGATGATTGTGTGCAGAGCAATCTAACAAGGCAAATCAGACTCCACCATTTAATAGGATCTTAATTTTTAGTACCACAAATATGAAGCTCTAGGTATTTAATTTTCCTTTATTCATATAATATTCACACATCAAACATTTATTCATAACATCTCTTGTGGTCTGATTACATTCTAATAATTAAATATCAGAGTAAAAATTCTGGATTTTATTGTAAGTGCAATAAAAATAAAAATAAAATAAAAGTGTTAACTTTTAAGAAAGAGAGTGACATGATCTTCCTTGCACTTAAAAATACTACATTGCTGTGTGGGATAATCCCCATAAGGGATTAAGGATGAACTGGAACAGTACATAAGGTGCTTGAAATAATACCCTGGGATGTAAGCATTTATATTTTAGAACTTCAATCTACAGCTTATTGGAAGGAAGGAAAGAAGGGAGGGAGCGAGGGAGGGAGGGAGGGAGGGAAGAAGGAAATATGCTTCAAAGGTATTTAATAGATAGTTTGAAAATGGTGCCCTCACTAGGTCTGTCAACTGTTCAGTGGTAGAGTGGAACAGTGGAAGACCACATCAGAGTTTGACAGAGGTACTGCCATTTGTTCATTTGCTCCTACAGTACTGTGATGAATTGTGCTTTGCATATGCCCACGACCACAAATTTACAGATCACAATAGTTTAAATTAGAGAATCTTTACTACTATGGGTCAAATGTGTCCCACACAGGTTCTTGTGTTGGACACTTGATCTCCATCATAACAGTGTTAAGAGGGTAGGAAATCGGATTATGGTAATTGAAAGGTGAGGCCTTTAAGAGGAGATTAGATTGTAAGGCCTATACCCTTATGAATGGGTTAAGCCATTGATGGTTTAATGGGTTGTCATGGGCATGATTATGATGGCTTTACAAGTAGAGCAAGTGAGCAGGTTAGCTCTCTTGCTTAGCCCACTCTTGCTACGTGACACCTCGCATTGCTGTGAAGAGTGAAGGCCTTACCAGATGTGTTCCCTAGACTGTGGATTTCTCAACCTCTGAAATGTAAGAAATAAATTTCATTCCTTCACAAACTGCCCAGTTTCAAGTACTTTGTTATAAGCAACAGAAACTAATACATTTACTTTAAATGATTTACAATAAGACAAGATTAACCATGAAAATATTCCATGCACCATTATGCTGGTTATCTTGGCAAAGATCTTAAAAGGTGTCAAATTCAATGAGTTAAGCATTTTCCTTTTTTAATAACAAATGTTTCAGATTTGCTGAATTTTTCTGGGATGGTAAGTGGCTATCAAAAGAACATTTTTTGTCAGATATTTTCAGAATAATAAACATACCTAACTTGACCCTTCAAGATAAGTGACACTTTTGACTATAAATGCAAAAGCAACTTACGCTATGAAGAGAATATTTGTTTAAATGTTTGGAAATGGACTATGCTTTCATTAATAGCACACTATGCAATTTGGACCAAACAAAATAGTGAAGAATTTGGGGCTAAGATCCAGGAGAAGTAAACCCAGAAAAGTGAGGTAAGATTTGAGGTGACTTTTCAGATATAGATATAAGAGATACAGTGAAAAGGCATAACATGCACTTAATTAGATTTCCAAAAGGAAAGGAGAGAGCTAGATTGAGGCAGAAGCGGTATCCACAAAGATAATGCACAGGATTTTTGCAAACAGACAACAGACAATGAAGGTAGATTCAATAAAAGTTTGAAAATTTTTCTAACACTCTGTCCTTCTGAAGCTGAAAATGATGTATCATCTATACCAGGAGTCAACAAACTTGTTCTGTGAAGAGCAAAATTGTAAGTATTTTTGGATTTGAAGGCCATATAGTCTCTATTGCACCTACCCAAGTCTGCTGTTGCAGTGTGAAAGCAGTCATAGACAATACATAAACACATGAATTGTCTGTTTTGATTAAAATTTATGAACACTGAAATTTGCATTTCCTATCATTTTCTTCGTGTTTTTTAACATATCCATCACCTCACATAGTTACCATTTATTTATTTTTTATTTGGTGTTGAGAACACAAGATCTACCTTCTTAGCAAATTTCAAACATACATGCAGTATGTTAAGATTTCCAGAATTTATTCATCCCACATAATAAAAATTTTGCATCATTTGACCAACATAACGCATTTGCCCCATCTCCTGGCAACCACCAATCTACTCTGCTTCTATGAGTTTGACTATTTTAGATTCTGCACATCAGTGAGATCATGAAGAATTTGTCTTTTTGTGTCTGGCTTATTTCACTTAGCATAATGTTCTCCAGGTTCTTTCCTATTACCATAAATGGCAGGATTTCCTTCTTTTATTAAGATTTGATAATATTCACACATATATATCCTCATATACATACACCACATTTTCTTTCTCCATTCATTGTTGATAAACATTTAAGTTGCTTCTATATCCTGGCAATTGAGAATAATGCGGCAACGAACATGAAAGCACAGATCTCTCATCAACATACCCATTTTATTTCCTTTGGATACATACCCAGAAGTGGTACTGCTGGAAAATATGGTAGTTCCATTTTTAATTAAGGAGGAACCTCCATACTGTTTTCCATAATAGCTGTATCAATTTACATTCCCAACAAGTGTACAAGTGTTCCTTTTCTCCATATCCTTACCAACACTTACTATCTTTTGTATTTTGATAAGTCATTCTAACAGGTGTGAGGTGATGCCTCACTGGGGTTCTGATTTGCATTTACCTAATGATTAGTAATTTTCACATACCTGTTGGCCATCTGTATGTCTTTGCATACACCTATTGACCATTTATATGTTTTCTTAGGAGAAATGTCTATTCAGGTCCTTTGCCCATTTTTTAAATTGTGTTTTGTTTTTTTCTTGAGTTCCTTATTCCTTTGAATATTAACCCCTTACCAAATACATGGTTTGTAAATACTTTCTCCCATTCAGTAGGCTACCTTTTCATTTTGTTGACTGCTGTACAGAAGCTTTCTAATTTGATGCAATCCTACTTGTCTACTTTTGCTTTTGTTGCCTGTGTTTTTAATGTCATATACAAAAATCACTGCCCAGACCAATATCAAGAAACTTTTTCCTTGTTTCTTCTAGTAGTTTTACAGTTTCAGGTCTTACATGTAAGTCTTTAATCCAATTTGAGTTGATTTTTGTTTATTGTGTGAGACAGGGTCCAATTTCATTCAACTACATGTGGATATCCAGTTTCCTGAGCACTATTTATTGAAGAGATTATCCTTTCCCTATTGGGTGTCCTTGGCACCCCTGTCAAAGATCAGTTGACCGAAAATGCTTGTACTTATTTCTAGGCTATTTACTCTGTTCCACTGGGGTACATGTCTGTTTTTATATCAGTGCCACACTGTTTTTAATTACTGAAGCTTTGTAACATATTCTGAAATCAGGAAATGTGATGCATCCAGCTTTACTTTTCTTCTTCAAGATTGCTTTGGCTATTCAGGTCTTTTGTGATACCCTATGAATTTTAGGATTGTTTTTTCTATTTCTGTAAAAAAGGCCATTGGGATTCTGATAGGGATTGCACTGAATCTGTACATCACTTTGGGTAGTGTATTAGTCAGTTTTCTGTTGCTGATAACAGAACATCTGGAACTGAGTAATTTATAAAGAAACGAAATTTATTTCTCACAGTTTTGGAGGCCAGGAAGTTCAAAGTATGAGAGGGGGTGTATCTGGTGAAGGCCTTCTTCTTGGTGGGAACTGGCTACAGAGCCGAGTGACAACACAGGCAATCACATGATGAGGGAGCAAGAGCGCTTGGTAACGTGCTCACTTTCTCTCCTTATAAAGCGACCAGTCCGCACCCATGATAACTCATTGATCCATTAACCCATTACTCCACAAACAGATTAATCCATTCAAGAGAGCACAGTACTCATGATCTAATCACTTCTTAAAGGCCCCACCTTTCAACACTGCCACATTGGGAATCAAGCTCCCACATGAGCTTTGGAAGGAACAAACATTCAACCCATAGCAGGTAATATGGACATTTGAACAATACTAATTCTTCCAGTCTATGAACATGGGGTGTCTTTCCATGTATCTGTGTCTTCTTTTTCTTTTTGTCCTTTTTGAGACCGGCCGCACCGTGCTCAGCCAGTG